TTCTATCCGTTTCTAACGGAATTTTTACCAGGGTTGCAGTTACATTGCAGCTACATTACAGCAATGTTGCAATATTGTAGCAATGTTATTGCAATGTAACTGCAAGTTTCGTGCTGCACGAGATATACTACAGAAATTGCAAGTTCTGTTACAACGTGGCTAGGCTCAAGCAACCTTGAGATGCTGTAGAGAAAAGTATACGTAAATATACATTGAATATATATTTTTACGTCGATAAATATAATTACAAATATAACTTTCTAAAATATCCCTCTTGAACACTTTTCAGAAATGCTCTGAGAGAGCTCGCAAATTCTGTACACACGGGAATTCCGCAGTATTTCAAATAGTTTTCATTCTGCAATTTCCGAAGATCATGATACAAGAGTTCTTTTTCACCAGAGCATGTATCGGTCGTTAAAGTGTAATTTAAGAAATAATATACATATAATTCTTTTATGTGTCGCGACAAGTGTTAAGTTTGAAAATTATAGTTTAGCCACGTGACATAAAGTGCGGTCATTATTAAAATTCCTCAAGAAAGAGTTCCAACGTTTGTCTTATTATTACTTTTTTCCAGTTTTATTTACTGGCAACAACATTGATAATATCTGAAATTTCTACGTACAACCTATTGAGTTAAATTCATTTTTATATTAATAATATATTAATGAACTGCAGTAGAAATGCACTACACAACTGATTTGAGCGTTTTTGAAAAGTATACTATAACTGGTTGAAACATGGCCGACAGTGTCGAAGACTGTCTCTACTCGAGGAACTCTAGAAGCCTAGACTCTAGACGTCGCTAAACACCTGTTGTAAATGTCACATTAATGCGCCGATGCGTGGAGAGAAGGAGTCTCTTCATCGTGCCTGTATATTCCAAAGAAAAAAAGAGATTTTCAGTTGTAGAGATGTGCATTTTGTTTCTACAAAATGGGAATTGAATTGTGAAACGAAGGGATCTAAGGTAACCGTGAAACTGACAGGAAGAATCGGTGAGGTTAATTCGCAGTTCTTTCAGGTGTTGGAAAAGAAGCAACGTCATGCCACTCTACAATACAGGGTCGAAAATCCAAGAAAAGGGAAATCAAAGGCGAATATTCTAGATTTGTTAAAGCTGCTGTAGCGTTGTTACTGAAATCTGACCACAGTTGGAGTAAGACTCGGCAGTATTCCAGACAAGTTAGTCGCCACACCAGTTGTCACTTGTGCTTGCTCATCACGTCCTCTCCTGCGCAATGTTATTCGTAGAAATTCATTGTGCCAAGTTAAAAATACTCCTCGAGCGACAGTTTCAACTGGAAACGTGATAACGAGACTGCCTACCTCCTAAAATCTCTCAGTTGCAACGAACGCACGGCGCGATGGAGGACCCGACGAAATGCGAAGATAGCGAACTCGGCAATGCAACTGCTGCGTGTTCTCAAGCGAATCCAACGTGCCCCGATACGAAGTCTTTGGTAGATGGTAAGAATACGCAGGTCCGTGTCGTCCGTGGCACTAAAAAGTTGAAGACTGACAATGACGTTGGCAACGTCGAGAAAAAGGGTGCGTTGACACGTAGTTTACGAATGTTACAGTTATTTATGTACAATGTAAAGTTGTAAAAGGACTAAAACTTTGCTTTGTTTAAACGTAGATGCGAAAGAGGAGGAGGCGGCAGAAGTTAAAGTAAAATCTCTCAAGCGCTCCTGCGAATTGTGGTCTATGGAGGATAAAAATACCTTTTTCAAGGCTCTCAACGAATACGGCAAAGATTTTGACGCGCTGCAAAGCTACTTTCTAAGTCAGGGCAAGAAGCGGAATCTCTCGGACATCATGATAAAAAATAAGGAGCAGATTCGGCACTTTTATTACAGAACATGGCTCAAGATATCGAAACATCTGAAATTTTCAGAAGGTGCTTGAAACACTGGCGTTAATATAATAATGTATAAACGTTTATATAAATTGTGGCTCTGCAAGGCTCACGGTATATTCTTTTACGTATAGATGTGAAAAAGACGTCCCAGGAATTGTATGGACTAATAAATTATGGTGAACTTAGAAGGAAATTACCTCGTATTCACGAGAAAGTTCCCTTAAGATTGAACGAACTGGTATATTGGGGCTCTACGCAGGTCAGACTTAGAGGGAAAACTATGAGAATCAAAACGCCAATATGTAGAGCGCTTAGGAAGTTAAATCAGCTGGAAGGTACCTGAAACTTTTAATATATTTGAGAAATAATTATGTGCCGCATTAATCGCACGCGTAAACTAGAATATTTCAAGACGCAAAGTTTATACCTTTTTTTTTTTCTTCAACGCACACGTATCTGTGAATTAAAATAGTTTCACATATTTATGTAATATCTATACACAATCATGGTATTTAGCCACGTGTAGGGAATATTGACAGATCTTTTTATAACAATCGATCAAACTTTATAAATATGTCTGTTTAACTTCAGATTGGCAGGAAGAAATTAAATTACCGTCTAGAATAACGATAGAACTGCGACCGCGTAACAATATGGCATGGTGGCAGGTACAAGCGGCATCCATGAATCCAAGAGTTCGTACATTGCTCCCCATACAGAGACGCCTCTCAAGTTTATTAATATTTTTACAACAGCGATGGCGACTCGCAAAATATACTACGGTATCTTTATATCTGCTTAATTGCAACATTTTTACTCCCCCCCCCCTTATTATCGTTACTCTATATGGTTTTTCCTATTCGTTATTTTCAACTGTTTCTATTGCAGTTTTTGTTGATTGGAATGTTTCACGGTAATTTGTAAATGTTATTTATAGTGTTCCACTGTGGAGAATCTTGTTGCTAACGATGTAAAGGATGTTTGTTTGTTACGAGTCGCTCCACCAGAAGGCTGTAAAATTGCTTTACCAATGGTTAATCTCGGAGAATACCTCACTAGCAACAGCGTCAGCTTGAACTCGTACGAAAAGCGTCTTGGTCTGAAGAGCTCAAGAGAAGACTTGTTGGGATCTGTCCAATATCTAAAAGGAGTAGGGAAAAAAGGCATTAAGCGATATAAGTCGGATAAAAAGATTGTCAACCGCACTGACGAAAATTGTACACTGCCAGATATCAGTAGCGACGTGGATCTCTTAGAAACAGGAAGCAGTATATCGGAAAAACCAGCGATTATAAATAATACAGACAAGCCGTCTACAGAGTATCATTTAGAACCGAATAGATTTCCTGGTAGAGAGACTATCGAGAGAATTCGAAAGGGTTGGAACGTCGATGAGGCAAATACGATTACTGTGGGTGATCTTTTTCTAATGGTGCGCAACGTTACTACAATACACGCATTATACACATTATGTTTAATTCTATCAAGTAAAATCACAATTTAACACAAGTAAAATTACACGTTTGTATCTTCACTTCGTTGTTAAAGATACGTCTTCTAATTTTCTAAGTTTAACAGTTTGGTCGTGAATCAAAGATTATACTTGAATATTGGTGGGACTGGTTACCTAATGAACAATATACAACTGATCCAGCATCATCGAGCATCATGCGTGACAACAGTTTATGCTTAGTTCTACAAAAGTTATTGTCACTGGCGAAACATAATTATGGTACAAATAAAGTAAGATGTCACAAATATTTTGTTAATTTCGATCCGGATCATATTTTGTTGCATTTTGAAGCAAGTTAATTTTTTCTAACCGTGTAAAATGTCTCTGTTTTTAGGTATACGACAACACATCGGGAAGTAACGAGACAATAATCTCGTCTCGAGTCCCATCTATTAAGGAATCCACATTCAGAAGGCCTCTTATCCCACAAACGTATCACAAGATTGGTACAGCTGACGCATTTAAGACACAACTTGATGTGAATATTGTTACATACGATACATATATACATATATTTACATATATGAAATATATATGAAAATTAAATTGCTTATATATCAAAGGTAAAACGGTGAAAATCTACTACTTGCAGAAATTTAAAACGCGCTTTTGTAAACGAGGTAGAACAGTGAGACAGAAAAGTCTTGTTATACAAAGAGTATTGCCTATTGTATCCGCGTCGAACATGCCATCGGAAAATTTGACGACCGACGCTAGTAAGATCGCTAGTGGCTCTTCATTATGTCAAATGCAACCTGATAAAACCGCTGTAAATACGAACGAAGCTCAGGAGAAAACTTTCTTGGACGCTTTAGAGGCAAGCGGAGATGCGAAGAATTCCAATTCAATTATCACTAGTGCTACCCAAATTCTTAAAGAGGGCGAGCATCAGTGGTTAAATAGCGAAGTAATTAATAATCAGTATAAATATCTATACACATGGGTGTTTTTGTGTGAAAAATGTTACTTATTCGCTAAAACGAATTTTAGGTTGCAGATTTTTCATTGAGCAGTTTCTTAGGACAGCTTGAATCGCCTATGAAAGGCTCGCAGAGAAGTCAAGCGGGTGAACAGATTATGGAAGACACTCGTCCGTCTTCCGATGTAAATATAAAATTGTGTAAAATTATGTTAAATATTATTTTCTACTCTTTATTACAACCTGCTCTACGATGACATTTCAGGTCGTGTCGCATATGCAGTGCCTCATGGGAGAAAACAGTGTGGATTACATGGCGAAATTTGCAAATCTCGCATCGCAAATAGCTTCCGATGAAAATAAAAAATAGGTAAATCATACATTAATAAAGAAATTAATTAAAGGATTGCATAATTGATATATGTCCATATTTGTGACATTCGAAAGCTCGACCGTTCTTTACTCTTCTACATCTTCTACATCTTCCATATCTACATCTTCACGTAAAACTCGATAAAATTACGCGCATGTGTCTACGTCTGTTGCATTGTTGCAAAAACGCATACAATGTAACGACAAAAAATAGTAATTTCAAATTGACCTGTATATATAGCATAATACTGTAAATACGCAAAAGGACAGATAAACGAATAGTAGAACACCGCAGCTTCCGTTTTTATATCTCACGTTGATTCCTTTTCCTGACGAGAAACCGCCGTGCATTATCGTGGCGGATAACAATCATCGACACACAGCACTATAAAAAACGACCTCTGTGACCGTTTTTTATCAATGTTCTCTTTGTGTGTCGGCATTACCTCCCTATCCTGGTAATTATTGAAAAAAGAAAAAATACTAATTATGTTACCGAACGTGTATAGACACGAAATAAATAAATTTTGCGCTATTATTTTTGCGAAGTACAATTAATACAATAAACCGGCAAAGAGATATTTTTTTTAGATAGAGCGAGGGTGAAACCGCTGACCAAAATCTTGTACACCAATGCCCACTAATGCCCAGTGGGCATTACTTTATCTTATTATTTTATTTAATCTTATTTATCTTGTTTTACCTTATCATTGCCCAGTGGGCTTTAACTTATGTATCTTGTTTGATCTTATTTGATCTTTATAATGCCCCAGCAAGGCCTAATGCCCAAGAAATGCCTAGTAATGTCCAGCAATGCCGCAAATCTGTAACACCACAATGCCCTCGGCGGTTTCCCCCTCGAGATAGAGAAAAATATTTTGTTAAAAACAGTAGGCTGTATATGTATACCTAATGCATTTTTCTTCCTAGTGCGTTCTGCGATATGCTCGGGGACCGCGTCTCTTATATTTACGTCATTTATACTGTATTATTAATATCGCGTATACTTTAACGAACCGCTAATGAGTGGAACGTCCCGCCGCAAAGACGTCCGTGTTCTTGGAAGCGGAGCCTACGGCCTTTTTCCTGGCGAGTTGCGAAATATACATCAAAATGATTCATAGCTCTTACGTCCGCGTGACCACTACCACACGTCTACCTAGGATTCGTGTTAACTACAGGTATAATTATCCGTGGACGTAAGCAACGTGTTCTCTCGTGGATACCTTTCCTCCGAACCGATCGATTATACAGCCAAGTTGGATATTTTCAATTAATCCTGCGTAATCATCCTGATTAAATAAAACAATGAGTTTTTCCTCGCTAAATAGTATCTCTCGATATACGTTTGAAAGTACAAGTAGCCGCTTACTGCCGATCCAAAGATCGTAAAAGAAGTATAAATAATTACATTAAATTCAAGGAATATGGTAAACTATATGCAACAGCAAGATCTAGAGATATTTAATTGAACAATATCGCGAAATTATCTTGACCGCAATTGTTTTAATAATATTTACGCGCCGCGCGGAACGAGCGTGAGAACGTCTTGCAATTTTATCGCGCACTCGCGTATTTTCGTAAAACTTAGTTATTGCAAATTACGTAGTAACTACGTAGCGCCGGTCGCCTTGTAAAAACTCGTAAATCAACGGCGCGGAGAAACAAATATACTACGTCGCAAGGAAGATCACGGCAGTACCGACATTGTAATATTGTATATCCACACGCACACATACGCCCATGTACAGTGTACGTCCACAGTGTGTGTGCATCACCACGTATACTATAAATAAACTCGGGCATAGGCGCCCCACTGGCGATCGAGATGCGTATCGTTTTCAAATTTCGCATCACCATCCCGCTTATTCGCGCCCCCTCGTTCAAATCACTCGTCTCGCAATCAATTCGGATTCTACGACGCTCGCCTCGGAACGCTCTTGGATTCCACCCCGCAAACTTATGCTCCCGCGAATGTGTCGAGATCGTACATTTGGTCTCGAGTGAAATTCAATCGGTCAATCGAGTCGGCTAACAGCCGAGGAGGAATATGCGGTTTGCCTCGAAAAGAGCGACGCCAATGAGGCGCGAATAATCATTGCGTCAGCTATCGCGACTCGACGCGGCCGCGGCAGTGGTGATTGGCCGCGGCTGCGGAGCGGGAAATCCCCGTTGAAACCTGCTCGTCCCGCTGCAGTCTCGTAGTATTTGTCTCGTTCGTCATTCCCCGTCGCGTCGCCGTCGCCGTCTCCGTCGCGTCGAGTGAGGACCTCGTGGTTCAGTCGTTCGGGAGAGACGCGTGGCGGAGTATCGCCGCCTGTCGATATCGTGATAACAGCGCGCAGGAACGCAATTGAACGGCGACTTCGTGTGTTTTTTTTATCGGGCATCTGATTCTCGGAATCGCGATGGTCTCCTCTCGCGCGATATCGGCGCGTTCGTGAATCGCCGCGACGCGCGCTTTCGATTTATGCGCGATTTATCGTCTCGCTCCACGCGAGTACGCGCGTTAACGACGAGCGTGTCCAATCCGCCGATATTGTATGAGAAAATTAAAGTGTGAGTGCCCAGCGTCATCGGCGCGTAAAAATGGACTCGTTTAATAGCTACGACAGAAACGACCTGTCGGAGGTGAGTCCGATAACAATGGCCATTAGCATACAATTTGACGTCGAATTTTGGCGCCGCCAACTGTTCTATTCGACCACACTTTCGTCCCTCTCGCCTTTTCGCCGCGTTTCTTTTGCCGCAGCAGAATGTCACGTCTTCTTCGACATCACATCTGTTTCGGATTGGACCGCGTCGCTTCGCTTATAATAAACTAGATGTGCACACGTTCGCTCTCGATATAGCTCGGATTAAAGGGGTCGGTAGTTTTTTTAGCAGAATTGCCTGGACAATCCAAATCTGAAAATCGGAGTTGATCCCGCGTCAATTCCGAGTATCCAAGCTGTAATATATTATTGCAGATGTTTTTTTTTTTAAACTACTCGAGTGTATAAACCTAAACCTCCGAATCAAACGTCCTACATTATCGCTTCGCGTGTTTTACAGTTATACGATGAAGATAAATAGCGCGTTCCGGGAATAAGAGGCAAACAGGGAAGATAAAATTCAATCAAGCATCTCGCAATTCTGATAAAGGAATTATCAATCAATTTGTGTACACGCGCGGTAGACACAGCTCCTTTTGGGCTACAACGCTATATATTTTGCGCGGCGTCGTGGAAAACAAACTCTCGGAATCGACGTCGAGACAACCGTCAACGTTCAAGAAATCTCATTAAACAATTTCACGATTGGCAATTTCGTTTCTATTCCGCTTCTCGCGCCAGGAAGATCGAACTCGAACTGGCTAAATTTACAGATACGCAGGGAGTGGATTCGATTCTTCGACGTTAAAATCAATTCGTGTTAAATCCAAGCTTGTGTGTACGCGGGATACAGAAATTTTGTAACTTACGCCTCACGGACTTTGTAATTTAGAAAATCTCAATTTTCTAGTTAAGAATTTCATTAATAGTCTTTCGACACATAGATAACGCGAGATACCATAGGCCATAGATAACGCCCGAGTCCCTCCAGTCCAATTTTCATTCGGTTTTTCCTCTTTTTTTTTGTATGTACACACAGAAACGGAGCAGTACGCTACATGTACGCCGTATTGTGTTAAATCGTAAATCCTATGATTCCAGATGTATCCGTCGTTTATTAATTTACACGAAGATGGAAACGACCATTTGCTCTTGGACATGGACTCCTTGGTTCCCAGACGAAGCAGTTTCTTAGCAAGCCGCGGTTGCGAGCCCGCCAAGAAGAAATGTTCGCTCGGTAATGCATAAAGAAAGTAGAAAGAAAAATATCAATTGCGATCGTGCGAGGGAGTGGACGCGTCCTTTCGCGGTTGCGAGATTACAGGACGAAATTATCTTCATCTTTTTTCCCATCACCGAATCAACACGTTTGAGTCTTCCTCTCTTCATCAATTTCGATAAAAAGAAATGTATAAAAGATCAATTTCGAGCGTTGAAATATTTGTTTTGCACTTTCCTGTTTTTTTCCCCCGTGTTTGCATATATGCGCTTTACGTGTCTCGTTATTGCGCTTCGAGACGAAACATTTAACGACAGAGATGGACTATGTATCATAAAGCAAACTTGTATCTGTAATCACTGTAAGAAAGCAATAACTCTAACGCCTTCTCGCGATTTTCGTCACGAAGCAACGAGTCTGGCAAATTATTAAGAAAAAAAAGTAGCTTCAGAAGACGATTAGTCCATTATCTTTTCCATTTTCTTGCTTGCTTATAGCGACTTACGAAGATTCGAGTCTGCTACTCACTATTGGTCTGCGACTGCCGACGTAGCGATAGTCGCTGGTGGGGGTTTCCCGGGACTGTTTAACATTGACGTGTTGCATCGATTTATGGGAAACCGCACCGGCTTTAGCATTTAATCGTCCGATCGATCTAAAAGAAACGTTTTGCATTCGAAACATATTTACGGTTTTAAACGTGCAGACAGCGGATCGAACAGGAATTGCCTGACAGATCTGATCTTTATGATGTCCTTTCGATGAAGGTGATGAAAGCGAGGCGATCGACGGCACCGGATGGTCCGACAAACCTATCAGAAGCTGGTGTCAAGAGGAAACAATAAATTGGCTTATGTCAGCGGCGTCGTATATAGGTCAACCTTACAGTTCTATTCAGCACAGCCTCGCCGTGTCCGGGAAAGAGATCGTTACTTTTACGCGGCAAGATTTCATCAACCACGATCCTGTGTATGGGAACCGATTGTACGATCTTCTTCACTCGCAACGTATATCAAACCTTTGTACGTAGACATACGTCATTGACGTAATGTGCTCATATATGTCGGAAATTCCAAACTCAATTTAACGACAGATCCTTCGACAAATATCAATTCTCATCTTTTTATAACTTTTACAATATCGATATTCACGATAGCAATGGGTTGCAACACTCTAGAGTCCCCACAAAAGCCAATCTTCGGTGATTTTTTTAAGGAATATAATAGACATAAATAAAAATCTGTTTGATCCTTATTATTCTCTACACATTGAAGTGTAAAAAGAATTTTTTATAAATTTTTCCTCAACAAAATGGCGGCGCCAGAGCCTTGGAACCAAAGTGCCTCTTTGCGGAAGTCGCCCCACGGGCGGAAACGAAATCCGTATGTAGTTCGAAAGAAAATGTTAGATATTTTTCAAAAATCTTTGGTTTTTGTTCCAACTCAAAGGATGAGGGAGCTTTGTTTCCGCCCGTGGGGCGACTTCCGCACTTTGGATCAAAGACTCTGGCGCCGCCATTTTGTTGAGAAAAAATTCATTAAAAATTTTTTTTATACTTCAATGTATAGAGAATAAATAGGAATGAACAGATATGCATTTACGTTTATTATGTTCTTGAAAAAAAACACCGAAGATTGGCTTTTTTCTTTGGACTCTAAGTGTTGTAATCCCCTTAAAGTAATGTGACGTAAAGTAATGACGCCAAATGAAAATTAGGCTACGAGTCTAAAGTACGAATTTTTTGTGCAGTGCCATCGTTCGATACCATTCAACCGCAATCGGAAGACGAGTACGCACGAGTCAATTCTAGTAATATATCCGGTAAATTATTAAGAAAATAATAACTTTAGAAAATGACTGATCCGTTATCCTTACAATTTTCGTGCTTGTTTCCAGATGCGGAATCGGATAATAGCATCGAAATTGCAACCAAACGGTTGCCTGGCAGACCCAGGGTATTGAAGACGAAAAAAAATCGTAAGTATAACTGCGAAATATTTTTCGGCGTACAGAGAAAAATGCATGTAAGCGCATTAAATTACACGATTAAACTACTTACAGCCGCCAGTCAAGGAAAGTTGTGGGAATTTATTAGAGATTTACTACGTAACAGAGAAACATGTCCGAGTTTAATTTGCTGGGAAGACTACTCGCAAGCTAAATTTCGTTTCGTAAAGAGCGATGAAGTAGCAAAACGATGGGGTTCACGGAAAGGAAATACAAAAATGACTTACGAAAAGCTCAGTAGAGCTATGAGGTAACAAAAATAAAATTTTCAATATGCTAATTGTAAGAAGTAATTTAAATACGTATTCATTAATCATTAAAAAAAATAATGCTTTTCAGGTACTATTACAAAAGCAAAATATTTCTACCAGTACTTGGTCGAAGATTGGTATATCAGTTTGGACCAAATGCGAAAGGATGGCAGACGGATAATCCAAATTTCCGACACTGAAACAATGTCCGAAAAAGAGTTTGCAATATGACCGAGCAGTCGATAAATTGTCAAAGCAAAAAGTCAAATCGATTTCACATGACATTTCTCGACGTTAGAAAAATAATCATTGTTAATATTCATTCTTTATGTGTTTGTTAAATATGTTAAATATCGTTACCATATGTCAATAATCATTTAAATGTCGCCCCGTCGAATGTAGTTATGTTTTTTACACAGCCAAAGACAATAATATAATAAAACAGATCTCTAAAGAAAAAGAAACGATATCTGAAGTGAAAAAGACATGTAAAATATACATATGTTTTTTCTTTCTTACGTCTTTGGTCTATGTATCTTTGATACCATTTATATTCATGTATCTTCGCGTATTTTTCTACCTTTACAAAACCTAATATAATAATCATGTTTATATGAATTTAAAAATGTAATTAAAAATTGTATTGTATAAAGAATAGAAAGATATGACTCTGAACAGACAAGTATTTTTAAAAGCATAGTCGTCAAGAAATAATCTTTTTATAAAAATAAGAAAGGAAAGTCGTACAACACTTTCTCTAAAGAAATCAATTCCTTTCTTTGTTGTGCCAATTGTTGTTTGTATATATTTGCTATTTATAGATATAAGAGATGAGGCATTTGATCATCATTATTATTAACATTCTTATGCATTTAACAAACTTTTAAAAATGGCTTAACGAGAAAATAGGTATTATTGTCATTTCATTTCTACATATAAAATTTATATTAAATGTTACTTGTTAAAAAAACAACAGTAGTCTTAAAATATTAATCAATAAAATAGAAATTACTTTCCTTCTACGCGCGGAGAACAGCTTTATTTTCGCCTCTTTTTCGATGTTGACGACACCATCTTTGACATCATCTTTCTCTTTCCAGGCTAGAAAAAGAAAGCACTCGTTAAAATATACAAATTTCTTTCAATGAAAGCATATAGAGATCGAATAAGTAAGCAATGCATTTTACGACTCAAATTAACATAATTAAATTATATACCTTATAAAATATTAAATTAATTTATGTACCTTAATTTGCAAGTCCAATTCTTCTGCTGTTTCGTTCTCTTTTTTATGTGTATCATCTGTGCTTTGATCGATATGCGGAAAGACAAAATTTCTCTTATTTACCGAGTGAAAAGCAGAATCAACTTGCTTTGCCAATGAAGCTATCCTTGCTAACGACTCTTCCCCTCGAGTCAAGAGCGAACGTTTTTTTATAATATTCTGTAAAATACACAATCATACAAGCATAAATGGAGCGATTTATTCATTCGCTCATGAAATGCGACAACACATGTTGCTTTTTCACTAATTATTTGGTCCATTAATAAATTGAACTTACATATATCGTTTGGGATTTCTTTCCGATATTTGGTCCATTCAAGAGATCCGTTATATTCCGTGGCATAATCGGTTCCATATTTTCGATAGAATCTGCTTTGTCGAGAGAAGTATCTTGTCTTTGTGACTCATTATCCTTGATTTTCCTAACTGCTTTTAGTCCGAGTTTAAAAATTTGACTGTCGCACAACTCGTCCTCGATCTCGTTATTTAAGCATTTCTATAAATAAACAAGATGCCCTCTATATAAGCATATATTCTTTAAATACATGCGATTGTTGTTACACACACACACACACACACACACACATATATAATAACGTTGTACCATTCTTTCCTCAAGAAATTTGTCCCTTTCGTGTCTGAGTTTACTCCACTTTGCTTCTTCCTCATCTTCTTGCACGTCGACCCAGCCATCGTTTTCATCAGACATTTGTGGTGTTTCAATACTACTTCCTAATTTATCTAAAAATATTACGTGTTATAAAGTTGTGCACATATTGGAACTTCGTGTATCAAATGTTTTGAGAATCTAAATCTTATATAATATGTTACAGAATATGTTGAAATAGAAAATAGTTTCGAATAATCAATCGTCTGCCATATTAAAAAAAAATTGCAATTATTCAACAGATAGGAAACAAAAAGTCGTACGTGTGCTCTCATACCTATATTCCTCCATTTGAATTTACGCTCACGTCCCGTTCCATCGGAGTGTAAATCACCATCCTCAAATAATAACTCCTTAAGCAATCTAACTTCCCTTTTATCTTCATCGAGCATTTGTTTCATATGAATCTTTTCCAGTTGATTCTTCATCTCGTGTTCGTCTATGTGTTCCTCATCAGCTTCCTCAAATTCTAATTTATCCATGTCCTTCTCGTCTTCATCAGCGGAATCCCAATCACTTTCACTTAACTCGGCCTCTTCTTCCAAAAAACCAGCTGCAACTTGTTTTATATTCTCTTCCGGTACTTCCGGTACTATTTCATTTTCCTCGGAATCGTAGTCAATGTATTGTTCCTCTGCCTCTTCACTGTCTACATCATCCTTTTCTTCATCAGAGAATTTAGAATTCTCTTCTTCCGAATCGGACAAGTTGAATTTTTTGACCAAACGTCTTTTGGGTTTGACAAACGTATCTTCATCATCCTCATCGTCCGAGGAAGCGATTGTTAATTTTAATTCAGAATCTATTGCGCTATCTTTACTTATTTCTCTTGCATAATTTACAGAATTGGAATCTTCATCTAAGATTAATTTAATATCTTGAAACATATTATCACTTTCTTTTGGATCTTTGGATTGTTTAACATCAACTGGATTCGCGTTAGAATTTCCAGGACGTAATTCGGCACTTGAACGTAACTGCGATACTTGAGTGGTATTGGATTGCGAAAATAAATCTAGATCGGTTCTTTGGGTAGATTCAAATTTACCCGAACATAATTGCATAAGGTATTCATCGTCGATAGTTTCTCCAATATCATCAAATAATTTCTTTTTTAAAATAGTTTTATTTCTGACGCTGCACACATCTTCATAAGGTTCGTCACTCTGTGTGTTTTCAATATAGAGGAACTCGCGTTTATCACTTGGACATTCCATCTCTTCCAATGAATCTTTCTTATTGGAATTTAAGGTAGTATTCAGTACACTCAATTGTGTTATAGGAGAAACCATATCGAGCATACTTGTTTTCGTCATAGGTGTCTTACATATCTGGCTTCTCGTAGCAACTTCACGTTGCTGACAAGCAGGCATATTACTTTTATTTTCACTTATCCAATCATTATCTTCGCAATGTGCTTTAGATGCATCTATTTCTGTCGCCATATTTAATTGAGTGTTTTTACAAACGTTGCCACTACTTTTTAAGTCAAATTTATTTCTATTCTCCATATTTACATCTAAACTTTCTTCTTCACTCTTATCTTCAGCTTCATTACCATCATCATCATCATCATCGTCATTTTCTTCCTCTTCCTCCTCCTCCTCTTCCTCTTCTTCTTCATCGATTTCAATCTCATTCACGTCATTTATGTATTTTTTCCTATATTTTAAACTTGTGAACTGTTTATGGTTTACACGATCCGTGTCACTTTCATTGCATGTCTCTTCTGTACTTAAATTCTCATTGTCTGTAACCTCAGCCTCGTCATCTGCAAATAGACATTTACTCCTTTTCTTATCCTTAATACAAATGTCATTCTCTTCGGGTTCGCTCTCTCCACTGTCACTCGACTCCAAACCCATATTCGCTTTTTCTTCTTCATCGGAATCGTGACCACTTTCTTCTTCTCCATTCCAGTCTTCCTCCTCCTCCTCCGCTTGCAGCTCCATTTCTTTTTGTTTCCATTCTTTATTACGTTTTAAAGTCATTTGTAATTTTAGATCTTCCTTTAAACGTATTAATTTGGCCCCAGGCTTATTAAATTCAGAATTATCAGTGCTAGCAGGCACTTTTTTGTACGGGAGTGTTTCTTTAATTGGAAGAAGACCATTCTGCGTATTTTGTAAGTGTATTACAGTTACTTCGGGCTCATTATCACTCTGTTTTTTTGCGTTAACGTGTTTACAGAAAAATCTATCTAATAATGTATTTACACCTCTTACATCTGGCTTTGCATTGTCTGTTAAATCAATAATCATACCTGGCGATCCTCTTAATGTAACTTTCGAGTTGGATACCAATGCTAACTTTTTTCTACTTAATGAAGTATCATCTGCAAATTCTGGAAGTGGCAAACCTTGTACGTGACCATCAGACTTTTCGTACTCATTTGTTAAAGAATCATGTTGAACTTTTAATTGAGCTTCGTTAATTGCAACAAGAGATGGTGATAACACATTTGTCTCGGAATATTTATTTGTGTTTTCATTGTTTCCGTCCTGTGTTATGTGGTCCTCAGAATTTAAACGTACAACGTTATCCAACGTATCATTATCACTTTGAAATGTCTCAGTTATTTCCTTACCATTTATGTTATTAAGTATTTCTGATATTTCCATTGCTTCTATAGTCTGACTTCTATCTCTTTCATTAATTACTTCGGAATTATCTCGATGTGCTTTTGATATTTCAAATACGTCACAATTCTCCGTGATGGTAGCTTTGGATTTGTGATTCTCGTCGTTAATACATTTTTCCTTGTTCAATGAACTAACAGCTTCAGTTTCTTCAGTTACTTTTTCTTCGTCAACATTTATTTCAAGAACATCATTTGATTCATTTTCGAACGTGTCAAATAATTTTCTTGGTAAACCACGCTTTCGGAGATTTTGATTACCTTCATTTGTTATCTGTCGCAATATTGTATCAGACTTATCACTTGAATTACCGTTATTATCCGCTAACTCTATGGCTTGATGATTCACTTCATTAAAATCTTTTTCAAGTCGTATTTTGCACCTGGGTGCATTAAAATCTAAGTGATCTTTTTGCACAATCTCATTATTATCTTGAGACTCTTGAGTGCCTGTTCCAATCTTTTTAGGATCTTGAATACATATATAATCGATATCTATCTTCTTTGAGGGCATCGTCTCTTTCTCATTTGTAGAGAAAGGTTCATTTATATCCTTACTAACACAAGATATAGATTGTTGCATATCATCGTCATCAGAATCTGAGGATTTGTAAAAAAGTTCTGCCTCTTTTTCCTTTTCTGCAAGGACCTGGCTGTTTAAAATCATATGTATAAGATTAAAATTATATGTATAAGACGTATGTATGACTAATTTATAATCTATAGATGTGTACACATAAACGCCTGTATTACCTTACTATTGTAGACGACATCTTAAGTTTTGCAGCTGTTGAAGGTGCTTTCGGAAGGGTAGATAATATATTTCTTCTGTTCAAAAACTCTTGTAATGTACGTTGTTTTGGCCTGTGATACGGTAAAGAAATTTCCGTCTCTCTTAATAAACGTTGGCTTTCGCTATGTATCTGACGCATCGCCTCGTTTTTAGAAGCTCTTATAGAACCCTATATTATAAAATTAAAACATTGCAATTGTTTGTCTGGACAGACCCTTACAAATAAGATAAGTTGTAACATATTTGATCGTTTGATTTCGCGTGCGTAGTTTGATGTCTTGGCGATTAATTTTAATTCTTTCCAATTCACTGATTAACTTAACTTATAAGTTCAAGATAAATTTTACGACAAATGCAACAAGGCGATATCTCTAATCAATTAATGACAAGTGAGAAACTTTAGTCCGGGCATTTGCTTAAAACAATAATATTAATTAAACAGCTAAAGCCATATATTTCAACGAGAGCTACCATAATTAAATTTTTACAAGCTATTAGTAAGACTGTGGCATGGGTGCCCTGATAGGAAATTAAAAGAGCTGTAAATACCTTTCTCTTTGTAACTAATTTGTTCTTTTCCTTATTTTTAGATGTTTCTTCAAGTACGACAAAAGGACTGTTTTCCGTTTCTTCATTTTGTTCCTCTTCCTCCGATTCAGAATCTATTAAAGCCTGATAGCTTTTGGCCTGTAACAAAGATATATTCTGAATACTTTTTATACCTCTTGTATGTTCTCTGAAAATTATGCTGCTTATGTGAAACATGCTCGCTTACCGTAGTGCCTATAATCTTCGGAACAGTTTGAGGAAGGTCGTTACTCTCGCTTGTTTGTGCCTCTTCTTCAGACTCGCTATCTCCTTCCTTATTTTTAGACGTTTCTTCAAGTACGACAAAAGGACTGTTTTCCGTTTCTTCATTTTGTTCCCCTTCCTCCGATTCAGAATCTATTAAAGCCTGATAACTTTTGGCCTGTAACACAGATAACAAAGATATATTCGAAATACTTTTTATACCTCTTGTATGTTCTCTGAAAATTCTATTGCTTATGTGAAACATGCTCACTTACCGTAGTGCTTATAATCTTCTGAACAGCTTGAGGAAGGTTGTTACCCTCGCTTGTTTGTGCCTCTTCTTCAGACTCGCTATCTATTATTCTCCTTAGGCTTTTATTTCTTGAATTGTTCTTATGTTCTGCAATCTGTAAGTATTCGGGTGATCCAGGACGACATTCACCGTTAGTCATAGACGAACTCTCGTTCGGTGTTGCATTTAAATTAGCTTCTTCCGCGGAATCGCTGTCCGCGAAATTCAAAGACCTCTCCGAGGTTTTTTTAACAGTATTAACGCTACTATCTGTATCACAGGACTTTCCATCACCAACCCGCAATTCGCTTTCTGCACTGAATTCGTTCAGACTGGCTTCGCCGCTTGGGTGAAGCTTAGAGGAAGCTTCACGATTCTCCAACTTATCCTGATCACGATAACAGTTCTCTTCACTCGACAAGTCGCGAACGTCTCCCGAGTTTTCTTCAATATTCTCCTCGTGTTCTCGACTACGTGCCGTTTGTTCGTCATTGAGCTTTGAAATATCTCTCAAGATATGTGACACTTGGCGGGCTTCCCTATTAAAATCTTTTTCGTTCGAATAGACTTGCACGAGATCAGCCCTCGCTGAAGGAGGTACGAATGCCATTATCACAAACGAGAGATTTGCGACTCTTTTAGTGAAACCAAAACAGAAGCTATATATAACGAAATCCACATCTATGGTTTCTTTTCTCAAGTACACAGAGAACAGAATACAGAATTACAGAATTAGGAGGAATATACTACGTGCAACCATCTTCGTTCCATAACTCGGTTTTACTACAGCTGACATCGTGTATTTACGCGCCCAATCTGATCAGGAGTGCCAACCGTGCAACGTAAGATCAACTTGGCACATGCGCAGAAAGCACTAGTAAATATACCTAAAGGCCTGTGTCCACGATGCTAGAACTTGAGCCACGGGTGCTTTCGCGACGTAGGTCAAAATGATCCGGATCATTTTGATCTACGTCGCGAAAGCACCCCACATTTCTCTCTTTAATGGCCTGTGGTAAAGTAAGCAACAAAAGTGGTTTATTTATGCAGTGCTGCCAAGCAAATAGTTATTATAAAATTTTCTTTATATTAAATTATATATATATTATTTAGATTAATACAAAACTACCTTATAAAATTTTGAGGTCCCACACACGGCACATGTAAACAAGCCTTAAGCCCGTATCAGACTACGGATTGAGATTGGGATTAGATTGAAATTTGACCAATCACAGTAAAGTTTACTAATCTTAAGTTCAGTAACTTTTACTCTGATTGGTCAAATTTCAATCTAATCCCAATCTCAATCCGTAGTCTGATACGGGCTTTAGTGTGCACTCAGTGCGCACTGGTGCAAACAACCAAATTCGCCAATAATGATATTCCTGCTTGCCTCAACGACCAATGCCGTCACTTAAATCGTAAATAAAGTAGGGAACGCGCAGTCTATATATACTATGTCTATGGACAAGACCTATTCATATTTCTAATTTCGCATTCACATATTTGGCGTGTTTCTCGATGCTTGCCGCAGGTTAGGTTATAAACCGGTCGCTTTTTAGAGTGATTTGATTTTGCGGTACAAAAGGCGATGGGGAAAAAAGATAAAAAGAAAAATAAACACAAGGTAAGCGGTCAAGTGAAGACTGCATTAAAAACCGAGAAAAAGCTTAATGCAAAGCAGAAGAAGGAATTAGCGGCACTTGGTGAGGTTAGTCTTGTTCCCTTTGCCGTTTCGTCCCGTACGGAAAGGGAACGTTAGTAAGTGTTTTTGAGGCTTTAAAAGTCACTTCATGACTTTCTTGTACAGGATGACATAGAAAAGATCGTTGCTGAAATTGAAGAAGAGGAGGCTCGCAGGCAATGCGTCAAGGAGATAGCGGTGGATGCGCCGCTTAGACGAGTAAACTTCACCCTGACGGCACATCCTCTTAAGGATGAGCTTGTCATGCTTGGCGGCGAGTTTCATGACGGTCGACAAGTAAATATTACACCATAATAAATTCATCGAACGTACTCTCTTTCAGTTTTCTGATTAATCAACAAGATGTGAGAACTCACCATATGCACAAATGCAATAAATGCAGAAGGATACATAATCTATCCATATAAGGAGAAATTGATCATTTTTTTAATATGATGTAAGAAATCTAGAAATGATCCATTTAATTCTAATCGCGTTCACTTAACTTTCTGTAGACAATTGTATACGGCGACATGTTCGTTTACAACATAAATAAGCGAGAATGGACATTGGTGAAGGCACCTGGGGCACCGCCACCGCGATGCGGCCATCAGGCAGTAGCCACGTCGAATCATGGTGGCGAATTGTGGGTGTTTGGTGGTGAATTCACCAGCCCAAGCGAGTCGCAGTTCTATCACTATCGGGACTTGTGGGTGTTTCGATTTGCTGACAAGAAGTGGGAAAAGATCACGTAAGTACTAACAAGTAATATTTATATAACGTGTGCATTTATACACACCATGTGTGTTTGTACACACGCGTGCATATAAAATAGATTTATACATTACGTGTTTTATGTGTATGCTTGTTACGTATGGTTCTAGAGCTCTAAACGGCCCATCAGCCAGAAGCGGACACAGAATGGTGCATGTGAAGAAACAGCTGATAGTGTTTGGCGGATTCCATGACAATCTGCGACATGATTATAAATATTTCAACGACGTACACATTTTTGATTTAGAGACTTACACGTGGCGGAAAATCGAACCCGCAGGTAAGAGAATGAATGAGATCGAAGACAGAAACTCGTATCTCGTACATCGACATTGCAGTATTTACGTTTATTTAAATACCACTTTTCTTGACGATAAATTCCGATAAACAAAGATGGCTACGATTTATTCAAAGTCAGCAACTAGGTAAATTTATCTCTAATTTTGTTGAATATTTGTTTCAACATTCTTTATCAAAAATTTGTAAAAGCTTCGCAAAAAATGTTATACAAGAGCCTAGGACTTATTTTACTAAGAGTATTTATCAATTATTTTAATTTGTGACATGACTAGTTAATAGTATATGTATTACGTGATGAGTGAAGGCTTTCTCTTCAAAGGTGTTGCACCCACTCCTCGATCAGGCTGTATATTGCTGCCGACTCTGGACAATAGAGTCGTCTTATATGGTGGCTACAGCAAGGAGAAAGTAAAGAAGAATGTAGATCGGGGTTGCATTCACGATGACATGTTTTTGCTGACTCAAGCGGACAAGAATGATGCAACCAAATATAAATGGGTCAGCGTGAAGCAAACTGGGACCCGTATGAGCCCGAGATGCGGCGCTTCCGCCTCATTAATTCAGCCTGCCGCCAACCAAGCCCTCGTGTTCGGCGGTGTTTACGATGACGACGATGACGATGAGGAAGATCTGTCTGGAACATTTTACAATGATCTGTTTGTGTTAGACTTGGAGAAGCTACACTGGCACGTTGCAACTTTAACCGGGAAAAAAGAAACGACTGTTACTGACGGCACCGAAGCACGACGACGACGAAGAAGGAGAAAACAGGGAGAAGGAAGCGGTGAGGAGGCAGAGCAGAGTAATGATTCAGATGAGGAAGCGATAGGAGACATTTCGAATTCCATCCAATCTACGGTTGTCGTAGATGACGACGGGATATTCACGGTACGGCTCTACTTGTCCGCTCTCGACTATTCCTGAATTATTGCAAGCAATGGCACAGAAAGGGACAAGTTAATGCTTTATGTTGTTTTTCGACAATATAATTTGCATGTATCTTTCGCTAATTTTTTATATCAAAATTTACGAGTTGTGCTTTTAATTTGGATTATATATGTAGGTTTGTCTCTGAATCTTGTCGCCCAGTAATAACCTAATGAAGAGATTTCTCAATAAAATTTTTTAAACTTTTTAATTACTATACAAATTTGAATAATAAACAAATGTATACATACGTATACGTATAGGTAACAATAGGTTCAACGGAGTCACCTGCGCCTTCCGCATCGACACTTGAACCCACCTCGGCAGTGGCAAGTGACAAAGAGACGAAATTTTGTCCATTGCCGCGAATAAATGCTGGAATGGCGGTGAAGCACAACGTCCTGTATTTGTATGGTGGCATGATGGAAGAGGGTGATCGGCAATATACTTTATCCGATTTCTACAGCTTAGGTATATTATTATTAATTATACATATTTGTATTTTCTTACCTTTCAATTGTGTCAATACTCTTTATAGATTTTTTATTTTATTAAATTTGCATCAATGCAATTATACGTATGTGTATACACGTACACATGCACATACTCACATGTGTACACGCATGCAATTTTTGTACTGAAAGTCATTGTAAATTTTGATCATGTATGTATCAACATATCGTTTTTATATATATATTGATGACAATTGTCACTCAATTAAAAGTTCTAAAAGATCTCTAAAAAGATCATTATACAATATACATGATCATTAAAATATTGATTTTAAAGTAATTTTAAAGATAATCTTGAGGAAGAATATTTTTAATATGATGGCATTTTCCTAAATATATAATAAGTATATCTATGTGATGCAGATTGTCGAAGGCTAGATGAATGGAAAACTTTAATAACGGACAATTTGTCATCGCAAACGTGGTTCGACTCTTCGGAAAGTTCAGAAGAGAATGAAAATAATGAAGATAGTGAGCAAGAGGAGAGTGATGACAATGAATCATCAGTGAATATTAATGATAAGAACTGAATGCAAAAATAATAAAACAATAACTTGCTTAAATAATTTTCATCTATATTTAAATAATGTTTTCGCTCGGTCCTCCTACTGAGTTAGCACTTAGCAATATAGTGTATATATGGTTTACACGTCACTTGTGTAATTTTTTCTAACGTTGAGGGAATACTGTTATAATTTTGATAGAAGAAAGTTTTAAAGCGAATGATAATTTGAAAGTTTAATAATTATTTCAAATTAAATTTTCCACTGAATAAAAAGATGAAAAATAAATTAAGGAAATTTAAGATGCGACTAAAACGGCTAATTTAAGAGAGCAATCGACTCAGAAGTTCGGGTTTAATCATTTTCATATCTCTTTATAAATAGTTGATTAAAGATTTAAAAACTATTAACAAAGGAATATGTAATGTGCTGAAAAATATTTTATGGGTATATTTAGTCTCATATACATATACAAGAGGTTCGACATACAAAAGCATGTTAGATGGTAGTCGATTGTAGCCTTTTTTACCGAGTTCCGTTTCCCTTTTACACACATGCAAAAACACACACACAAACAATTAAGTAGTACATTTTCCTTCGTTCTCGACTCAAAGTGTCCCTGATTCATTCTAAAAACGGCCGAACAAAACATGAATTCTTAGATCTTAAACATAGTCATGAACTACTTTTAAATGCATGTATTTAGAATCACGGATAATTACTTTGTTTTTAAAGTTTCCAACATGTCTTTAAAATTGCTCAGTTTAAGATAAAGCCTTCGATTCTTATGTAATAAAAATTTATATTGTTTTCTCATTGTATTGATATATTTTTGAAATCTTAACCATGCATTTACATTTTTGAAATCTTCCTTTCTTACAGCGTCTGAGACGACATTTAGATACCTTTGGTTTTCTACTGTTTGTGAAGTACAATAGTCTTCAGTTTTCCTAAAATAAATAGAAAAAATTAATATGATATACCAGTATACGATTATATTTATATATTAGGTTTTCGACCTGATAAAATAGTTAATAAAACATTGAGTTGTTAGTAATCGACACACAACGTTCATTCATACAAAATTTATTACCTCTTCTTTGTTTGTTGACCAGCAGTAGAGTACAATATTGCTTCGTCATCAAGAATTCTCTTAGTTACTGGGTTATAGATTTTTGCCTGTGTACTTGACTCATCAGCTTGCACTCTGGAGTTACTTGTTTCATTTTTAACAATACCATCTTTACATTTCAAACTGACGTGATTAACAAATTCAGCGCTGAAAATGATCACCTTATTCAATTCAATCGTTATACTTAACGACGGATTAAAAAACGCCTACCTATCACCACACTTGTTTCCAATTGAAATATTTGCAGTGTCAAATGAAGAAGCTCCAAATTCTCTGCACAATTCATTATTAGGGACTGCGTAAGATTTTAATAGTCTCCGTATTAATCTGGGATCTTCATGGTTTCTATAATCCTCAATTTTAAAATGTTTGCTACATACGCAGGCATTACGGTAGACTTTTTTTCCTATGGCGTTATACCATTTTACTCTTAAATCTTCATTTTTCGGAAAACTGTAAAGTTCGATGTAACAAAAATTCATCGTTCCTTTCCACATTTATTCTAATTCTAATTATCTGATTTTCTTTGGACTTGTTAGTTTAACAAAAGTATACAAACAATATAACCTCAAATACTAATATTTTGCACTACGTGTATTGCAATGTGCAGTAATTTACTGCACAGTAATGTACATATAAATATTCATTAAATAACGGTAAACATATTCGTTTGTTTTGTAACAAATTGTTTCTTTCATTTATAATAAATATTAATTTAAGTATCATATAATCGATTCATATCTTTAATGTTCTCTGCTTTTTTTCAAGTAGATAAAAATGTAAACATGTTCACTTTTATTCTTCACTTTTGCTAAAAGCATTATTGCATTTACTAATAATTACTAAATGTAACATTTTTATTGTATACATCTGTAACATGTTTAAAATCGCATATGACTTTACCTATGAAACGTCAAATTTAAATTCTGTCCCTTTTCAATTCCGCAAACACAACAAATCATAACCATTTTTCGTAAGGATACTTTTTATGGCCTCTGAAATATTATACATCTATGATTACACTCAAGTGTTGACAGAGTTATGGAATTCGATCACGATGCAAATTTCTGAACAGATTGCACAGCACACGAACGTAGGTATGCACAGAGAGAAAAACCTGAGAGCAGCCACGCCGGCGTTTAGGCTGGGTCTACATAGGATGTAGTAAGTCGTGTCGGAAGAAATTGACCAATCACAGTCTATTATTCTCCTTACGATCAAAGAATAATGAACTGTGATTGGTCAATTTCTTCCGACACGACTTACTACATCCTATGTAGACCCAGCCTTAGTCCCAGTCTACAATAGAGATTTAAGCCCTAAGCCTTAAAAATTGACTAATCACAGTCGCGCATTCTACTCATACTTGACCGTGATTGGCCAATTTCTTAAAGCTTAGGGCTTAAATCATCTATTGTAGACTGGGACTTAGGGTACTATTACATTTGTCGTACGACAAATTTTTCAAGCGTGTCGATTGGCCACTGAATAGAAAGTTTCTAGATACTCGAGAATTTTACTATCCTTCAGCCAATCAATACGCTTAAAAACTTTGTCGTACGACAAATTTTTCAAGCGTGTCGATTGGCCGCTGAATAGAAAGTTTCTAGATACTCGAGAATTTTACTATCCTTTAGCCAATCAATACGCTTAAAAACTTTGTCGTACGACAAATGTAATACCAGCCTTAGGCTGGGTCTACATAGGATGTAGTAAGTCGTGTCGGAAGAAATTGACCAATCACAGTTCACTATTCTTCGATCGTAAGGAGAATAATGAACTGTGATTGGTCTATTTCTTCCGACACGACCGACATCCAATGTAGACCCAGCCTGATTTACATTGGCTG